GGCGGGCGGCCCGCGCCCTGCGCGACCTGCTGCCCAGCGCCCCCGCCGCCCGCCTGCTCCTTATCAACAACGCCGGTAACCCGCGCTCCCCGCCGCCAGCCGCGGCTGCCCCGGCACGGGGGTCCCCGGGGGTGTGCGACACTCTGGGGACCTGGGCAGCCCGGGTCTGCCGTAGGAGATGCGACCCGTGCTGGTGGCCCTTGGGTGTCTCCTTTGCCATCAGAGCAGGGGGGCTTTTCCCCCCACCAGCGTCAGGAAGCCCCAAGGATAGAGCTCTTACGGGACAGGCCCCTGCACGTGAATTTGTCACCTGACTGCTGTCACCTTGCCACTGGGCTCATGACAGGGCCCCTGGGGCCAGAGCATCCCCAGGATGACCCCCTGGAGCATCCCCGCTGGCAACACAGGGGACCTCAGGTCCTTGACTGGCTCTGTTTGGAGGAAGGGCACGGAAAGCATGCAGGGTGCCATGAGAGTGCCTCCTGCTGCAGTGGCATCTTGCCTGTGCCAGGAGTCAGACAAAGCTGTTTTTCTGCATCCATAACGGAGAGCTGCGTGTGGGAATGCAGGCAGAGAGGGTGTCCTGTGCCGCTGAACCTCCGGCTAAATCCTCACAGTTCATAAGCAGCTCTCTGTTAGCGCCCCACTAATCGGGTTAAAACTGTGCGGCAAAGGCCTGGTAGCAAATTGCAGGAGTTGCCTGTGCCTCCTCCTGCCCCTCAGGACTAACCTCCTGCCTCCCCTTGCAGGCTCGCTGGGAGACGTCTCCAAAGCCTTCGTGGATCTCGCCGACCCCGATGAGGTCAACAGCTACTTGGCCTTCAACGTCACCTCGGCGCTGTGTCTCACCTCCGCCGCCCTGCGCGCGTTTGGGCAGCGCCCCGGTGCCCGCCGCGCCGTCGTGAACGTCTCCTCGCTGTGCGCCGTGAAGCCCTTCAGGACGTGGGCGCTCTACTGCGGCGGCAAGGCCGCCCGCGACATGATCTTCCAGGTGCTGGCGCTCGAGGAGCCCGACGTCCGCGTGCTCAACTACGCGCCAGGTGAGCTGCGCGGTGGGGTGGGAGCCCATCCAGGTGGGAATGGTGGCATCTCAGCCAGCCTGGCATGTGCGTTGATGGTGCCGCCTTCCATCCCTGGGAGAATGGGCACCGTGCAGTCGAAAATGAACGTTGGATTTGGATTCCTGTTGATGGGATTGCCTTTCCTTGCTTGTATTTTTCCTCCAGGTCCTCTGGACACAGACATGCAGCTCTTGGCCCGGACTAAAACCGGGGACGCTGAGATGCGTGAGTATTTCCAGGGCCTCCACGAGCGCGGGCAGCTCATAGACTGCGACGTTTCCGCTCGGAAGCTGCTGCGGCTCCTGGAAGAGGACACCTTCCCCTCCGGCGCCCACGTGGATTTCTACGACGTCTGAGCTGCTGGTGCCCCGGTGTTCACTTTGTGCTTCGCTTCCCACGGCGTCCCTGGTGTCTCCACATCTCCAGCGTGGTCACACTCCCGAGGTGCCTTAGTGTTTCCAAGGGGGACACACAAGAGTCCTGCTTCACTTTGCCTTCAACCAGAGCCCTGGTTATGTATCCCCGGATTCCCACCCAAGGATCCCATGCTGTGGATTTTGTCCCAGCCGATCGCCCCATTGGGGTTGCTGAGCCTGGCCCTAGGAAATGTGCATCCTAGAAACTTTCTGCTTGACAGCTGCATCCCTGCAAACCCCTTCTGGCTCAGCCTTTCAGATTCTGTCTACCTGATCTACAGACATTAAAAATGTCATATCTTGCCTGGGCCATCTGCTGTGGTGCCTTCCTCGTACCTGTTCTTTCCATCTCCAAATGATGTCTTACTTGGATGGGAACAATGAGACGTTGGGGTGTTTCGGAGGTGGTTTTGGCGTGATTTGCCCTCCCTGTTCAGAGCTAAGCTCCCGGGATGGGAGTCGGTCCTGGTTGCTACTTTCCTGTCTGGGCTTTAGTGCATCCTCAGACTCATCCAAGTTGGGGCAGGGCTGGAGCGGGGAGGCTCGAGGAGCCCCAAGCCACAGGCAGAGCTGTGAGGGTGACGGGGACAGGATTGGCTGGGGCATGAAGACATCTGCTGCCAGCATGTGGGAACCACGGCGGCTGCAGCTGCACCTTCCTGCCCTTCTTCCAACCAGTCCCACCAGACCAGAGCTGATGGACAAGGAATCTCAGCACCAACCTCATTTAAGTCAAGCCAGCTGGAATCTGCAGGTGTTTTTGCAGCTGTCTGGGAGACCAGAAGCGGAGACCGGAGCATGGAAGACACTGCAGATGAGTGCCAGGCTGAATAGTTTGGTGGTTAGAGAAAAACCTCCACAAAATGAGTCTGAGTTCATCCCCGACAGCATCAGCAGCTGGGGGGCGAAGTCTGGGCTTGGGAAGCACGTGAGATGTGAGGCTTTTTGGGAGAGAAGCAGAGACTGATGTGAGCATCATTTTCCTTTTGCCTCCCCGCCTTTGAGCTGGTAAACAGGAGGAATTGCATAATTCGCCTTTTCTGTGCCATCACAAGAAATAAAACCCTGCCAGTTTGCTAAATGTGAGCTTAAATCATGCGCTGCGGTGCAAGCCTTCCCAATGTGGGGTGACACACTGCTCCGGGATGAACACGGACATGGAAATTGTCCCCGAGTCATTTGACCCCTCTCCTTCCTTTGCCCCGTAAGGCTGCCTTGTGCTCTCCATTCCCGCACATATTTGGGATTCCACTGGGAATCGCCATCCCACCAGGTGCCCTGGAAAAGCCTCGGTGCCTGCGTAGCCAGGCAGGCCAGCCCTTCCTCATCCTTCGTGGCTCCCCATCTGGTGGGACCAGCGCTGGTGGTGACTCTGTGGTCCATGATCCACACAGATCAGTGATCCAAGTGGTGGAGGATGGAAGAGCAGAACCTCTTCTGCTGGCCCTTGCCAGGGGACGTTGGCTCCATGCTGATTCCAGACACTAGTTCACCAATAATTTTCTTCTGGTATCACTGATCAGTGGCAACACCAGGGCAGGAGGGCTGAAAGTTAGAACATTGGAGTCGCCATCCCTTCAACACCAGCTGCTCAAGGAGAAAACCCGTTGCTAACATCTCCACTGCAAGAGCCAGCCTGTAAACTGGTGTGAATCTTAGGGCCATGGAGAGGGGCTCTGTTTCATGCTGCTAAATTTTGCTGGTAATTCAACTGTGCGCTAAGAGTTAAAAGGAACGAGTTTGTCTTCAGCTCAGCCGCCCCGTCATTCAGCTCTGCTCCAAACTGTCACCCATGTGAGTCATTCCCATAGGTCTCTGTGGAGACTCGCTGTGCACGTGCTTGGGTCTCGGCCATGGCTCAGTAGCCTCCAGGGACACCCTGTGCCTGTGACCCAAACACAGGGTGCGAGGCACAAAGGGAGTGATGCTGGTGATGCTCTTGGGGCAGAAAAACCCCACAGGCCTGGTGGGTCTCTCTGACTTGGCAACATGCACGTCTGGTCTGATGCCTGGTGCAGGGGACCAGGATGGGAGGGCAGGAGCAATGCATGGAGGTGGAAAACCTCCCCTGGAGCTCTCCAAGGAGCGTGTGGAAGAAGGACCGTGAGGGCTGCGGGTGGCAAAGAAGTGAGAAGACAGGAGGGGAGAGGAGGAGCACGTTGAGAAGAACAGAGAGGGGAGGAACCGTTGCTCCCCGTGGGCTCCGGAGAGGTTTTGAGGAGGTGCCTCCATGGGGGAGCTGCCTCTGCTCTGCCCCGCGGCGCAGCGAGATGCCCGGGCGGCGCAGTGCCCGTCACGGGCCCCGTGAGGAGTCTCCCCCGTTGGGGAGTTCTAAGGCCCCTTCGAGCCTGGGCCAGGCACGTCGCCATGGTCAGTGTCTCCTGGCTCTCCAGGGAGGATCGCGTTGGGATATCCCGAGACATCAGCTGCTGGCGCTGCACTTCCCATCGCTCAGGGCTCGGGCCACGTCCCCTCTGCGCTTCCCGAGGGCTGCTTGGATGATTTTCCTCCCCTTTCTTCCCATTTTCTGTGGCCAGCTGAGGGCGTAGCGAGACCGGGTAAGGGAC